TTGGATATCAATCAATAATTAAACGGTCATTGAACAATGTTTAACATTGTTTTGATTTATATTCTATCAATTTTTTTTAAAAAAATAATGAGCTCATATTATATTTATCAATGTTTTTTTTTAGTTTTTTCTAATTGGCAATTTTTTATGGCATACAGTCTCTTAATGCACATGTATTTATTTTCAATTTTTTTGTTTGTTACGTTGTACCTTTAGGCACAAGTAATTGCTAGTTTTCAATAAGCAAACACCATTATTAGCCTCATCGACATTAATTTGGAGAGAGAGAGAGAGGGGATTACAGATTATGTAAATATGTAAGACTGCATTTATTTCAACAATTCTTACATTTTCGGTATAAAAGAGATTCTTATCTATATAATAAAGTAGAACGATTTTAAATTTTAGAGATAAAGAATAACTCAGATCGTTTTGTAACCAAAAAAATCATCGTCTAATGGACGGCGTTATCCAAAACTGTGTCAATCTATTGACGTTTCAAATCGTTTTGATCCGACGTACCACATTAGCCCTTTTGAAATATTTTTGCTGCTCAAAATTTTTAATTTCCATAATTGACTCCCCTACATTGAATTCGCCTCTTAATCTCGCCAAAATCAATTATGTCCAAATCTAAAATTAACGTTCATATTTAAATTTTGACCACCACTCATGTTGCTCTAAATAATATCATTTATGACACTCAAGAATATTCGATATAATGATGAAACTATATTATTTACTCTTTTTTTCTTTATCACGTGCATCCATCTCGATCTTTTTATCCAATTATTTATGATATCCCCTTTCTCCTCTACCTCCATCTATTTCTTTTTTTGTTCTTCCTCTCGATCTTTGCCCCCAACAAATAGCCACCCAAGGCCGGCCCAATAATNGAAACTATATTATTTACTCTTTTTTTCTTTATCACGTGCATCCATCTCGATCTTTTTATCCAATTATTTATGATATTCCCTTTCTCCTCTGCCTCCATCTATTTCTTTTTTTGTTCTTCCTCTCGATCTTTGCCCCCAACAAATAGCCACCCAAGGCCGACCCAATAGTATGGAACAAAAAATATGGGCTTTAGGCCCCAAAAATTTAGGTGCATCACTAGCCCACGAAAAAACTTAAATCCATTAAATGTTATGTCCTACAAAAAAAGCTCCAAAAAATTAAATCCAATTAAAATTTTTATTGTAATAATTTGTGTTTATAATCCAATTAATAACATTAAAAATTTAGAAATTAAAAAAATAAAAAAAAATACTTAAAAGTNGAAAAAACTTAAATCCATTAAATGTTATGTCCTACAAAAAAAGCTCCAAAAAATTAAATCTAATTAAAATTTTTATTGTAATAATTTGTGTTTATAATCCAATTCATAATATTAAAAATTTAGAAATTAAAAAAATAAAAAAAAATACTTAAAAATCAAATCATATTTACTCCCACCCACTCTCTCTCTCTCTCTCTCTCTCTCTCTCTCTCTCTCTCTCTCTACATCTAGTAAAAAAATAAAAAATAAAAACAAAAAGTTTAAATTAAATATTCTCTCTCCTTCTCTATGGTTAAAAACAAAAACAAAAAAGTTGAAATCTCTTTTTTGACAATATTAACACGTCATTCTTTTGATCGTTTTCATACCACAATAATTTTTAAATTTACTACCATTTGGATATCAATCAATAATTAAACGGTCATTGAACAATGTTTGACATTGTTTTGATTTGTATTCTATCAATTTTTTTAAAAAATATAATGGGCTCATACTATATTTATCAATGTTTTTTTTAGTTTTTCTAATTGACAATTTTTTATGGCATACAGTCTCTCAATGCACATGTATTTACTTTCAATTTTTTTGTTTGTTATGTCGTGTCTTCAGACACCAGTAATTGCTAGAAATTAAAAAAAAATAAAAATACTCAAAAGTCAAATCATATTTACTCCCACCAACTCTCTCTCTCTCTCTCTCTCTCTCCATCCAGTAAAAAAATAAAAAATAAAAACAAAAGTTGAAATTAAATATTCTCTCTCCTTCTCTGTGGTAAAAAAACAAAAACAAAAAGATTGAAATCTCTTTCTTAACAATATTAACACATCATTCTTTTTATTGTTTTCATACCACAATAATTTTTAAATTTACTACCATTTGGATATCAATCAATAATTAAACGGTCATTGAACAATGTTTGACATTGTTTTGATTTGTATTCTATCAATTTTTTAAAAAAATATAATGGGCTCATACTATATTTATCAATGTTTTTTTTAGTTTTTCTAATTGACAATTTTTTATGGCATACAGTCTCTCAATGCACATGTATTTACTTTCAATTTTTTTGTTTGTTATGTCGTGTCTTCAGACACCAGTAATTGCTAGAAATTAAAAAAAAATAAAAATACTCAAAAGTCAAATCATATTTAGTCCCACCAANTTATGGCATACAGTCTCTCAATGCACATGTATTTACTTTCAATTTTTTTGTTTGTTATGTCGTGTCTTCAGACACCAGTAATTGCTAGAAATTAAAAAAAAATAAAAATACTCAAAAGTCAAATCATATTTACTCCCACCAACTCTCTCTCTCTCTCTCTCTCTCTCCATCCAGTAAAAAAATAAAAAATAAAAAAAAAAGTTGAAATTAAATATTCTCTCTCCTTCTCTGTGGTAAAAAAACAAAAACAAAAAGATTGAAATCTCTTTCTTAACAATATTAACACATCATTCTTTTTATTGTTTTCATACCACAATGATTTTTGAATTTACTACCATTTGGATATCAATCAATAATTAAACGGTCATTGAACAATGTTTAACATTGTTTTGATTTATATTCTATCAATTTTTTTTAAAAAAATAATGAGCTCATATTATATTTATCAATGTTTTTTTTTAGTTTTTTCTAATTGGCAATTTTTTATGGCATACAGTCTCTTAATGCACATGTATTTATTTTCAATTTTTTTGTTTGTTACGTTGTACCTTTAGGCACAAGTAATTGCTAGTTTTCAATAAGCAAACACCATTATTAGCCTCATCGACATTAATTTGGAGAGAGAGAGAGAGGGGATTACAGATTATGTAAATATGTAAGACTGCATTTATTTCAACATTTCTTACATTTTCAGTATGAAAGGGATCCTTATTTAGAACATGATCCTAGGCATCGACTACTAAGCTCATTCTTCACGACAGCACTGCATACAGCGGGGAGGTACTACACGTACATCGCATTTACAACAAGCAATTTGGTAGCGGCTGATGCATGCTCCACAATCAAAGAAGCCAAAATTGTCAGTCCAAGTTGATCATAAAGTAAGACCACAATCACAATCTATAACCATCTCAATGAGAATAACACCACTAACCCCACCCCCCACCCCCAAACAAAAAAAAATGATAGTGTCAAGCACCATTCCATCTCGAAAAAAGAAACAAATCCAGTAGATGCTACTTTGTAATACACTTGCAGGTCAGATCAGATGATTAAATCTGTCTGCTCAGCACTTATAGGTAGCAAAGTGATAATCCTAAGCACCAACTGGACATTAATTGTAGCCAAGGTGACAGTTGAGGGCATATTTTCGAAGGCAAAGGACAGTAATAACTCATTATATATAAGAAAAATATGGAAAGTTCAACAAGGGAGGATGAATTATGGTATACAACAACTGTGTCATCTGGTGAAAGATCTTGCATATTGACTATAAATGGGAGACGACCAGTGGCACCCTCGACCTCAATCTGGACCACACAGGCCACAAGAATTAGCACAGAGATTACTATCACAAATTTGCTCATGGTTTCAAGAGAGCACAAACTCGGGTAGTTTTCTTGAGTACTCTTTAATGTGTCTGTTCTAGCAGTTCATCCAGATGCACATATATAAAAGCAGCACAGTTTCATTTCCCAAAACACTTTCCAAACTTTACATCCCAAATCAAGTTTAAAGATTGGATCACTGGATCCCGTTAATTCTTTCTATTGGGTCCCATTAACTTTTTCTTTTGGGATCCATTCATCCAACCATTCCAATTAATTAGGGATCAAATCTTGGAAGGGATCCAAAGCATTAAGGATACATGAGTATTAATAGTCTGGAACAAATTTGGTGAATCTGGATGGTACATTCAAAAATAATGGAAAATTCAGTAAATCTGCCATTGATATTGTGGATTAGAAAGCAATTAAGACAAAGTGCATGGGATATTGATCCTTTGCCTCTTTTATGGTTGGTTTTAATTATGGACTTTCAGGACCAAGAAACCTAGTACTTTTCCGACCCAGGCTAACCAGACCAAGGAATACAAAGAAGGGAGACACTAGGCCCACCAACCCAAAATCAATTGACAATAAGTGGAGTGGTCCCTCAAGTATACAAATCAATCTTGGGTGTACCTGAACTGTCAATGTGGGATAGCTCTCTTCACATAACTCAATTCCAAAATACATTTTTTCCATATTATAAATCTACTCCGACTTTCTAGGACTGAAAGATGATTCAGTGGGAGTTTTGTTTAACTTTTAGTTGCTTGAAAGTTTGTTGCTTTTCTAGATGAAATTTTAAAAATAAGAAAATAGGGTTGTAATGAAGACTTATTTTCTTTATGACCAAAGACCTCCCAATTCAAGAGACAACCAATGTTATGTATGCCTGCTCATCTCATGTTTCAGATCTGTTGGTAGTCGAGGTGGAGAGCCAACTCCATTTGATGGCTAAGGCTATGTGGGATTTAGGTTCCTTTTTTTTTGGCTCTTAGATCTCAGGTTCCCTCAAAGTTACAAATTAATGGAAGAAATTAAACGAGAGGATGTGTGGATGTCTAATTATCAACACTGAATACTATGTACACCATCTGGTGTAAAAATATACCTGATCTATTTTTATGGTTTTGATGTGTAGCGCCACATGATGCCTCCAACTAGATTATTCACTGCATGGGAGGCCATTGGTACAATGATGCTTGATGATACTATTGTAGCGTAACCATAGACAAACCCCACAAATGTCGCCCTGAAAACAGATTCAACAACTTATTCATCACTGTATTCAGAGATTCATGCATGAGCGAAGTGTTCTGCCTGCATAAACATAAAAAATTTGTCTATTCCAACAGCTCCATCAATAGTTACTTGCACTATGTGGAACACTTTTGCAACTGGTAGATCATAAATCGTAAATGATATCAATGCATGAAATTTTCAAATTCTTAAAGCTTAAAATTGATCCAAATTGGCCATTGAAAACATCACGTTCTTCTCGCTCACAAGAGAAAATGCCTCCAAATATCCACATTACCAATATAGGGACTGAACCGTAGGTTATGACTCAAATAACACATATGAATCAAAATGGAAGTGATTAAATCAGGAAAAATTGTAAAGAGTTCCCCATTAAGTGAAAATGAGAAGTACCAGACTGCAAAGGAGTACTTTCGACCACTGCCCAAGTGCAAGACCCCAAATAATGCAGCAACTACCAAGGCACTCGTCCAATTGATTCCAAAAAGCGGTAACAATGCACCACGAAAAAGAAGTTCCTAGGCAACCCAAACATCCATGGAAACTAGTTTTATCATTCCAGAACATAAAAGGAGACAAGAAATAGTAAAATAACAAGTTTTTTTGTGCTGACCTCACTAGCTCCGGGCAGGATTGCTACAACTATATAATCAAAAGGTTGGAGTGATGTAAGGACCTGAATTAGTGAAATTACTTCAAAAAAAAATCTGGTATGACAGGTCAACGATCAGGCAAGATTTCTTACAGTTGCAGGCAACCGGACAAAGATNCTGACAAGAGAAAATGCCTCCAAATATCCACATTACCAATATAGGGACTGAACCGTAGGTTATGACTCAAATAACACATATGAATCAAAATGGAAGTGATTAAATCAGGAAAAATTGTAAAGAGTTCCCCATTAAGTGAAAATGAGAAGTACCAGACTGCAAAGGAGTACTTTCGACCACTGCCCAAGTGCAAGACCCCAAATAATGCAGCAACTACCAAGGCACTCGTCCAATTGATTCCAAAAAGCGGTAACAATGCACCACGAAAAAGAAGTTCCTAGGCAACCCAAACATCCATGGAAACTAGTTTTATCATTCCAGAACATAAAAGGAGACAAGAAATAGTAAAATAACAAGTTTTTTTGTGCTGACCTCACTAGCTCCAGGCAGGATTGCTACAACTATATAATCAAAAGGTTGGAGTGATGTAAGGACCTGAATTAGTGAAATGACTTCAAACAAAAATCTGGTATGACAGGTCAACGATCAGGCAAGATTTCTTACAGTTGCAGGCAACCGGACAAAGATTTTTTTTTTTGATCTGACATTAAACCAATGAGGATGCATATATTTTTCAGTTGAATGAGCCAACACATTCTAATCTAATAGAAGCCAAACAATGGCTGCCAAGCTCATAAAAGTTGTTTGCGAGATATTGGAAGAGGGTGAGAAGGCCACCTGTGAATTGGCTGCTTCACTAGACTCGGCAAAATCCGGCCATGTCTTCAGTAATAAGTATCGGCATGACGATATCAGTATAACTAATCCTGTTATTAACTCAAGATGCCACAACTCGAAACCAACTGTACACACATCAAATGCATATCAATGACCCCTTCAAATAATAAAACAAGTGGTTTCGGTCAATCTTAAATGTAAACCAAGAAAAAGAAAGCAACAAACTTCCAGATGACGATGAATTCTTATACAGCTTCTGGATAACTCTCTTTTTAACTGTTTTAAAATTTTCAAAACAAAACAACGCAGCATTTTGTCGACACTTGCTGTGACAAAGTTACAAATAAAAAAATCACATGTATATTCGTCAAGCTACTTAAAGTGAATAATTATTTGCCTGAGTGTTACAAAAACAATGATGATTTGATTTCCATATGGTGTTTCAATAACCCAATAATCAATTATTAACAATAATGATGAGTACGAGCATTTTGAAGGTGGGACAAGTAGCTGCATTCTAAGCATAAGTTTGTGAGCAGATAAAAAATTGTATCTGTGCTTCTAGCCTATGCAGTTTAAGTGGCACACATACAGTGAGTTTAAAATTCGTTCAGTAGTTTGTGTTGATATGTTCAAGCTACCAGCAACCTGCTTTAATGGGCCTCACTATCTTCATCACAGTAATTTTATTGAATTGTTATGCATACTTCTTCACGATAAATATACATCCTGTTTTGCCGAATTAATACGATTAAGCAATTCCAGATGGAGTTTATTTCTTTAAATGGACTTTTGAATGATTCACTTGATCACAACAAATATAAGTGTCCATTACTTGCATAATTAAAACCAAAAGAAAGGTCACTGAATTTTTCACATGATAGTGTGGTAGAGCAGTCAATGATCGGCCATCCTTCTGTTGATGCAACATGGGAAACCTGCAAGTCCCAATTAGGAAAAAATATTATTTGCCAGGTAAACTGAAATTCACACCAGAATTTGTGATTTTATTTACATATGTATATATATGTATCTATGTATCTATTATAAAGAGTACTACTGTGGAGTAACAAGTTAACTAAAAAACTAGTAGAGAGACCAAAAAGGTTAACTTTTCATCTATGGTTCAGTTTTTAATCCCTGCAACATAGTGCCTCAAATCGTTGTTCTAATTTTGAAACTTGTACAATTCGTTCAAACTGGAAACCCAAGCCCAAAAAAGAAAGCTGAAAGCATTTACAGTAGATCATCATATACGGAAGAGGAGAGACACATGATTTCATAATATTTTTATACGGTAATTCTACAATTCAAAAATGACATCAGGCACCAATCAAGAATGGATTGACAGCTTGGATGAAAATCCTACTGCCATCATATAGAATGACTGATAGAACTGAAATTTCATACAGTGTTACATGAAAATATAGAATTTTTCGTATATACATCACAACAAAAGAAGCTAATTAAGTTTACATAAACTCAAAAAAAGGAAAATGCTAAAGTAAACATGCCAAGATGGCCATTAGTTCAAATAGCGCCAACTCTTTGCGAAGATAGGAAAGACATACCTGTCGAACTAGAACACCCAAAGCACCAATTAAACCAGAAGTAACGATACACGCATNAATGCTAAAGTAAACATGCCAAGATGGCCATTAGTTCAAATAGCGCCAACTCTTTGTGAAGATAGGAAAGACATACCTGTCGAACTAGAACACCCAAAGCACCAATTAAACCAGAAGTAACGATACACGCTTGAAGCACAGCACTCCGGGTTGGGATGGCAACTGCAGTCTGTGCATCCAAATTGCTCAAAGAGGATGTTTGATTGTTGTCATGAATGTAATCATCTCCTGAAGGAGGCCTATCTGCTTGCCCATCATCTTCATTGAAGAGAGGCTTATTAGGTGGTGACGTCACATCTTTTTGTGTTTTTCCTTTCCTTCTCAACTTCTTAACCACTTTCTGACCTGCAAAGGCCCTTATGGAAGCGCCAAATCTCTAGACATAGAAAATACAGGATTAAAGATAAGCACTAGAAGAAACAAATCAAAAAAAATAACTTTATTGGTATTGTTCCTGTTTAAACAATGAGAATGAAAACTCACTCTGCGTAGTTTGGCGGATATGAGAACAGGTAAATCATAGGAGCCAGTAAGCTTCCTACCTAATCAAATTTGACAACTTTTCTCCAGTCAAAGCATAAAGCAAACCTAACCATAGCAATGATTAAACGTTGGCTAATGATAAAGTAATGCTCGACACAATGGGTCCTCGTATATAGAGAAAGACCAAATTCAAGATATAAACAAGAACGTGGAAAAAGAAAATCATGGGATTGAAATGAAAAGTAAGTGAGCAGCTACTTAAATGAACCCAAATGGAAAACTAACTACTTGTGTTCATTGTTGGGGGAAATAACCATTCTTTTCTAGTACAAGTTGTTCATGCTCAAGACCATCATATATGGAAATTCAAGAAAAACCCAGAACGATACAGTAAGAAATTCAATGATATTAAGAAACTGACATGTAAAAGTAGAATTTCCAAAGGATAGGTAGGCTGCAGATAGATTGCCCGGTTTGGTCCTCCACCAGGGGTTTATAGTGAGCAAATCCATCACTGGTGAGCTTGATTTAGCCTTCTATTCCAAGCTTTTTAATGCTCCTTAATGTCTGTTAGAACGATTAACTCATAATCCAATTCAGAAAAAAAGAACGAAGGGGGAGAGGAATTCAGAAAAACCAAACCTTTTCACGATTATTCTTCAAAAGTGAGAAATATTGTCTGGAAAGATGAGAAGAGGAATTCAATGGAGTGAAATTGTTTCTGTGAGAAATGGAATTCAGGTTTCCATGTTCAGCCAAATGTGAGAACCCATAAGAGAGTTGAGCATGGGAAGAAGAAGAGGATGAATCATAAAATCATCATATTTGCAACTTGCAAGACCCAATTGATAAGGTCGCGGTATCTTGGGAAGCCGAGCCATATGAAATTCGGGATTTATATGTATAATACTTTGAAGAATGGTTGGCAATTTTCCAAGTTAAATTGACAGTTAGGCAGTTCAACTCATGCAGCTGAACTAGAGCCACAAATTTAATGGAGAATTTAGGATTAACTGTACCGGAAGCCTTTCAAGTATGAGATTTGTCTCATTTTAATTTTTAATATTTTAATTGCATTATCTTGATCTCTAAAATATTAAATATATTTTTATATAGTTTTTCAAGTTGATAACGTCCAGATTGCTAATAATTTTTTATAATAAATTTATCACATAATACATAAATATGGATAAAAAAATAATTTTAATAACTCTTAAATAAAATTTGGGTAACTCTTGACAAAAAAAATGTGTAATATATATATGGGTAACTTTTGACCAAAATTTAGATAGCTCATGACAAAACTGTATAATTTAAATAGTTATTTAACCAAACTTTGAGTAGAAATTTGGCCAAAAATTATTCAAATTATTTTTTTGTCTGTATTTAAGTATTACGTAATAAGTTTATAATAAAAAATCGTTAGCAATCTAGATGATGTTTGTTTGATAGATTATATAGAAACACATTCAATATTTTATGGATCAAAATGATATAATTGAAATATTATGGACCAAAATGAGACAAATTCTATATTTTGGAGACCTCTAGTACAATTAACCCGAGAATTTATTGAGTCATTAATTTCTGATAGATAACGCTACGTTGGTCAAAAAAAATTAAATAATAGAAAATTAAATATTATGGTGAACAGGGGTTGATTTTTAAATGAGTTAAAAATGGGGTTAAAAACTCTACGATTTCAACGTTGCATTATTTGGTCGTTTTATTTTTATTAATCTAAAACTAACCATGAAGGATATATTGTGAAGGCAATTAAACATCATATTCTAACACCTTTCGTCTCTTTTTGATGGTCTTAAAGGAAGAAGTAGGATTAAAATGGCTCAAAGTCTAGGAATCAAATATGGATCAAAACTAACCCTTCATTAAAAATTTAGATCTTCAACTTTTTCATGAAAAATCAAAACAAATCATTACTTGAATATTAAATTGTTTGAATATTAAAATTTGTACGTTTCAAAGTGTTTTGGTGTATTTCATATTGTTTTGAGATATTTTTCAAAATGTTTGAACCAAAGTTTTAAAAATAAAATTTTAATTTTTTTATTTGTTTCCACCTTGTTTTCGAAATATTTTCAAGACATTACTGAAACATTTTTATTATTAACCTCACCGAAATTATGCATCGAAACAAAATGTTGATCCTACGATTCAATGAAATCCGAATCCTTAAAATGTGATTGCAGAGAATCAAAATGGGGCCAATGCTATGAAAAAAATTTGAAAGAGTAAAACATTTAAAATAAACTGTACAATTTGAAAATAACAATTGAAGTTAGTATGGTATTGGGGGAGTGAAGATAGTCTTGCTACAAAACAGTGCCAAGTAGCCATATATGCAAGAAAAGCCAGTAGACGATGAGGCCTAGCCTTGCCCTTGGACGACTCATCAAAGCTCGACCACCAGAAACCCTGAATACATCAGGAAAAAGGGTGTTAGGTTTATGCATCCATTCACCTTAATATATCTATCCCTAGATAAGTGTATGATAGACATTCTTCACTTCCTTTAACATAAAGGTTTTGACACGGGACGGACGAATATCCGTGGTGACAATAAGAATACAAACGTATTTCTGACATGGGAATGAATATTCACGATGACCATAAGAATGCAAGCGTATTGCTAGCAACTGATATTTTTCAATCCAGGCATTGTAATTTGCAACTCTGATACTGAATCATCCAATGTAATGTTACCAGAAAAGTAAATCCAAAGCAGAGTTAAAAATAGGCAGATTCAGCAGTTTACCAAATTCCATCAATTCGGTCTGCAGCCATCTTCCCTTGTCTTGGAATAAGACCCGATGTATTAAGAGACTTGAATACATGACCTGCAATAAAGGAGAGTCGGTATATGTTGCTCAACATCTGAAACCTACTGTAAGGGAAAATTAGCAGCCCTCAAAAACACACCTTTATCTTCATCAGTTTCCTGACTGTTGAGCAAACGATCAGATTCTGGATCAATATTGATTGCAAGTTGGTCGCTTGACCCCTTTCGTAATGTTCGTACATGAGCAGCAGATGGAGCAGGAGAAATGGCTCTCTTTCCAACAGGTCCCTGAAGAAGTCAGAATGTGGTACATGTTAGAATGCAACAACATTATGCATGCATGTTTCTTATCTAGTGCAACTTGAGCTAAAGGAATTGAGTGTAGCTTTTGGCAGGGAAACAATTACTGAAAATATCTAGCCATTTCGATGTATGTGTCATGTAAGACAGTGCAACATGCCAGAACACCTAGTGCAGATTACTCAAAGTGCCTTGGTAAGAGCTAACATTTACTTTGAAATGAAACATTGTAAAACTTTGGAAGCATGCCCTTGTTAACCAAAATAATGGGAAGATATAGATTGCCCCATTGGAGCTACACCGTCCATTTTTCTGTGACCATAGGGTGAATGACACCATCAGAGCCTAGTGAGCTGATTTCTATGTGACCCTTGTCTATCCAGGTACAATAGTGACATGAAAGACAATAAGCAGTACTATATATTGCAAAACTTTGCTTGTTCGACAAAAAGACTACGTCCATCAATCACAGAGGCAGATTAACAAATAACCGGCACCCCTCTGCATCATAGCTCCACCACCAGTCACCACCACCTCCGCCCAAAAAATTGCTCTCCCTCCACCACTCTCTCCCCCCCTCCCCCTATCCCAACCCAACCCAACCCCCCAGAAAAATAGTGCATTTCACAACTAGTTAAACCCAACCATCTCAAAGAACACCATTTCCTAGCACAATCGATGGCTAGCGCCTCAAATTTGGTTTGATTTGTTGTTCAGTGGTGATTTCCAACCAAACGGGCAAGAGTACAATGTCTAGTGGATGGTGGAGTTTGTTGACGTAACAAATGATGAATCCTTTAAATTTGGTTTGATCGTGTTGGGACAATTGATGAATTAAATCGGTATTTGTTAACTGATAGTTCATGGAATTTCTGGGTAATTGATGGTTGTTTTTTCAGGGGTTGGTGGTTCTGGAAGGGGCTCACGGATTTCGGGTCGTGGAGGTGCTGGATGTTGGCTTGGGGTTGCAGTGGTGGTGGAGTTAGAGGTGGATGTGATTTTCAAAGGGAAAAGGCAACTTGATGGCCGATTGGGCTCCTTGGGGGATTTATGGCAGTGGGATTTAGGGTTATGGGGTACTTTGGTACAGTAGCACCAAGCAAGAGAGAGTGAGAATGGTGGAGGAAGGTTACTAGGAGGAAAATGGTAGCGGCAGAAGTTGTTGAGAGAGGGGGGGCAAAGGCTGCTGAGAAAGAGTATATCTAATTGAAAGTATTTGGAAACAAGTGTAATTTGTGTATAACATGGACATGATTTATTTGGCAACCAATTCAAATGCACGTGGGATCTAGAAGGGTAATATTGGTAGTTTTGAAATTAAATTCCTTATTTCATGAAAGCCTTAACAGTTTCCTAACGACACAATACAGTAACGGGGAATCTATTCATCCAATCACAATAGAAAAGAATGCAGTGTTATTATCCATACCGAATGGGGTCTAGTTGTTTCTTGACAAACCTCAGGGGGTGGATGTAATTTGTGTTTTTTTTTTGGGGGGGGGGGGGGGGAGCGAATAACTTGTAACCAACATCAACATGGCATTAATGAAGAAATAGTCACGGGCATTAAATATGAGATAGTATTTACCACATCTTCAATTTCTGATATCTCTGACCGTGTAGATAAGGAAGGTACTTCAAGGATCCCTCCCTCCTGCACAGCCTCTGGAGAAGCAATCCTACCTTGATTAGAATCTTCAAGTAATTTAACCTTGCTCAACAATTCATCCACAACCTTTTGGGACCCAAGCAACTTGGAGCCAAGTTCTTGGGCTTTGGATTTTACATTTTCAGATTCCTGAAGTATGGCCATAACCAGCTTTTCTAGTACCGGCAACAATCCTATCACACCAGCAGGTTTCTGATCGCCAACAAATTCACCACCTCCCAACTTTTTAATTATATTCTCCAAACCTAATACCAGCTCAAACAATTCATTCTTCATCTTGTCTGAGTCTTCCTTATCCCTACTGCGTTCTTCAACTTCGTCCTTCAGATGTTCAATTTCAACAACCTGTTTTTCGATGGATGACTGAAGATTCTCTTTGTCACGAGATAATAAGGTCATCCGATGCTGCAACCCAGTAACACTATCAATTATGTAAAAGAGCTTATTTACATGGGCAGGATCATTGGGCTCCAAGATTTCTAATTCAAACTCAGGAAAAGGTACTTCAATCCCACTTATCTTATCAAAGAGAGATTTCATTTGGGAACTTGAGAGGAGAGAATCTTCTTTCATTTGGGAAACTTCAGCTTCTCTCTTAATGAACTTGTCCTCTTTCACCTCATAATCTTCTAGTTTAAGTCTCAGCTCACTGCAAAAGTTTTGTAATGCCTCTAGATCAGTCTCCAACTTGGAAATCCTGTGTTGGTTTTGATCCCTTTCTTCTAGGGCTTTTTCACAAGTCATCTTTGTTTCTTCCAATTTATTCTGTAAGGTTTCAATTGTAGAGGTCATTGTATTCTTTACATTATGAAAGTGTTTACACAGAGTTTGAACATTTTTGGTAGCTGATAAGAGCTTCTCAGCTGTCTTGACATGCTTGATGCCATCAATCCTTAGCTGATNCATTCTTTACATTATGAAAGTATTTACACAGAGTTTGAACATTTTTGGTATCTGATAAGAGCTTCTCAGCTGTCTTGACATGCTTGATGCCATCAATCCTTAGCTGATGCCCTGCCACTGCATCCCCACTGACAGCTTTTACCTCTGGGATTAAGTTATGGTTCAGTTTTTCGAGCTCAGGAACATAGCTCAGTTCCGATAGATTGTTCTCAAGTTCACAAGTGGCATCAGCACAAGCAGACAGAATACTTTTGATGTCATTTTCCAACATGACTATGGTGTTCACCCGAGCTTCTTTATCTGCTTCAATATTATTCACTTTTTGCTTCAAAGATTTCATGTGATCAAGCATAACTGTTACTTTATCCTTTGCTATCCATAATTTCTTCAATAAAGCTGCAATTAACTCATCCATGGATGTGGAGTAACCTTCAAACTTTTCTGCAAGAATCTTGTTTCTCCAATGGAATCCTTCCACTGCTTTTCCAATGTACATCATGATACTGTCACCATCTGCTGCATTCACCTCACCATTAACCATTTCAATGTTAACAACATTGTCAAGGGCATGGGCATCTCGGAAATACTCTGGCAGAGAGGAATCTTCCTATAAGTGAAAAACCATATAGAGTGCTGATCAGAAAATGCAAGACACACATAAATGTAACAAATCTCAGTAAATATTACACAAAATCATATATACACACAAACATAGATACATACATTCAATCATGTATTTTTTTAATATAAATCATATGAGAATATATATACATGAAACTCAAAACGAGTTGTAGGCCAAATGAAAATGTCTTTTAATTTTGCAGAAAATAAAACAGAATCTTCCTTACTCATCTACTCCTGAATTTAACAAGGGAGAATCCATTCATCGTTTGTTATATCAAGTTATCAACTACAAACAAAAGAACTTCTTGAAACAACATAATGATTAATAAAGCTTCTTTAGTTCGTCATATGCATTCCTAGCAGAAGAAAAGGAAATCATCTAATGATAAGAAAAGGACGAGAGATGCATATCACGCAAAGTTACATGTCATGTGCACCCAACAAAAGTATAATTAATGTTACCTCTAACATAGGATTACTCTGTGCCATTTCTAAATCCATCTCATTCTTCATCTCTTCAAGGAGGAGGTCCATATTTTTCAGGCTCTCAAATTTTTTCTCAAAGCCATTACTTTTTAAGGATGACAAAGTCTCGTCTTTCAGAAGCAACTGAAGATTGTTAAGGTGACCAAAGAGTTCCAGAGACTTGTTTTCTATGTTGCCCTGAGTTCCATCCAACTCTTGCATGCATGCATTTAATTTGGAATTTAGTGTTAGTATCTCCTGTTCAGCAATTTTCTTTTCACCAATGCGATCAGATATATTACCCTCTGCCTTTGACAATGCATCCTCCAATGATTTGGTAGTCGAGAAGGCATCTGCAAGCTTGCTAGCCTGGAAATCAGCTTCTTCTTTAAGCCTTTTTATCTCATTCTCCAAATCGGTCTGACAAACTTGTGCCTTACTGTTTTCCTCGGCAAGAAGAGCAAAATTTGTCTGCACTTTAGAAAATGAAGCTTCAAGGAATTGGATAGTTCTGTCGGCCTCAGCTAGTTTGCTGGTATTGATAGAAACTTCCTCCTTCACTTTCTGTAGGTCCAGCTCGACAGCAGCTCTACTAACTTGAGCATCTTCTTTCTCATTTATTAGCACAGAGATATTGTTTTCTGCCAGTGACAATGCATCTTCAAGTGACTTTCTACTTGCACAAACCTCAGCATACTTGCTATTTTGAGATAAAGCTTCCTCTACTGCTTTATGTAATTCCTGTTCAACATATTTCTTAGAAACCTCTAGTTCTCTCTTTTCTTCAGCAAATTGAGAAATATTGTTCTGTGCCATTGACAATTCATCTTCTAGTAATTTCATGGTTTTCTGGGCTGCTGCTAAATTGCTAGCCAAATTACTGGCTTCATCTTTTACTTCTCCCAACTCTTTTTCCGCCTGTGTCTTTGCAACTTCGCATTCAGTGACGTACCCTGCAAGCCATTTCACCTTTTCTACAGGCTCTTCAAAAACTGAATCAACTGGAAGCACAATGTCATCGATTGACTCAATTACTCTCTGTAACATGCTATTGCTGTCCACTAAGAACCGCTTAAGTTGATCCCTCTCATCCTTCACAGCAACTAGATCAGCATCCAACTTTGGGATACGNATCAACTGGAAGCACAATGTCATCGATTGACTCAATTACTCTCTGTAACATGCTATTGCTGTCCACTAAGAACCGCTCAAGTTGATCCCTCTCATCCTTCACAGCAACTAGATCAGCATCCAACTTTGGGATACGTTCCACATCAGCTGACAATTTATCAAGCTGAGCCCTGCAGTCTCTAGAAACATATTCTTGATGTTCTAGTTCAAGCTTCAACTTCTCAATTTCAGCATTTTTTCCATCCAGAAGTTGTCTCAAGTTTTCCCGCTCTTGAACCAGTCCCTTGCCTTTCTTAATTGCCATGGATAATTTTTCCTTCAATAGAATACCTTTCTCCTCAGTTCGTTCAAGATCTTTCTGAAGAGAGTCTTTCTCATCTTTCAGCACACTAAGTTTCTCTGAGAGCACTGCCAACTCATTTGACAAATGATTCACCTCTGATTTAACCAGCATTTCTTCTTCTAACATTTGGTCATACAAAACTGATTCCTGATCCCTTATATACAAGAGACTCTGAATTCTTTCAAATATTTCGATTTCAACATGAGATGACTCAAAAGATGCAGTGATTTGTTCTTTTATCTTCCCAAAGCATCTATCAAAGATCATAGCCATGTCAGCCTGTGGCTGAGTTGCATCTTCCTGAATTTCCATGGTAACTCCAGATGCCTTTAACAACATACTGACCATCTGATCCTTCACCAGTGAGATTCGATTGTGCTTTTCAACAATCCCTTCAAACTTGAGCGTTAAGTCATCCAATTCCTCTTGAAGGTAATACTTTTCCTGTATTTCTGTCAAAAGTGATGTGGTTAGGCAGTCCATTTCATTTTCCACAGCTTCTCTTGTTCTTGTTATGCCATCTTGCAAATTAACAACTTCATTTTTAGCGATATGAAACGATTCTACAAGCCACTTGACCCTAGAATCCATGTCGGAGAATTGCATAGTTTCAGGAAAACCAATTAATGATAAGGCATCGGCCAGTCTATGAAATTCCAAGGATATAACATTCAGTGAATTTCTTTCACCGGCGAGCCATCTAACTTTCTCAATGACATCCAACGAGCAAACTTCCTTGGTTGCTCCATTTTCAGACAAAATTTCTTCACATTTCTGAATAATCATATCCCTTTGTGAGATTGCTTCCTGCAGTGAAGCAGCCAAATCTTCACTTTTGATTAACTCCTCCTTACATTGTTCAGCAGCCTCAAGAGCATTTGTCTTTTCTTGCAGTTCAATCAAACATCTTTCGAGCTCACTCATTTTCTCAGCCAGCGACTGCTTGAGTGAGTCTCGTTGCTGAACCAACGCCTTTCCTTTATTCACAGCCAAACTAAGCTTCTCTTTGGTATTAGCATACTTTGTCTTTTCCTGTTCAAGTTGCGCGCTAAGCTTTCCAATCTCTGCATTTGCCTTCGCAAGGGTTTCTTTGTGTTTATCAAGTTGTTCTTCCAGCTTCTTGTTTTCCTGTTCAAAATGGCTTAGTTTTTTATCCAACTTTACATCTTTTCCTCTGAACTCAAGTAATTTATCACGTGCAGTGACAAAAATCTCCACTTCATCTTGCACACTGACATCTGTCCCAACCTCAGTCAAACAGTGCCTTAGTTTATTAATTTCAGAAAGGAATCCATTATACTTTCCAATTAAAAGTGAGGTGCTTTTCTCAACAAGAGATATTTTTCCAGTAACAGATTCCTCCAACAATTCTTCTGGATGAACTGCTGTAGCAAGAGAAGCTAAAATCCTGTTTGCAATTGCCTCGATATGCTGGTCCTTTTCTGCATAGGATGCCAGAGTCTTCTCCTCCCTGTCTTGTGTTTTGGCTTTATTAAGACTATTGACTAACCCAGCATNCTCAAGCTGAGCCTCGATGTCAGTAACCCTTGCATGGAGATCCTCAATTTCTTGATCCTTCATATATAATATCGCATGGAGTTCTCTAATTGTGCCCTCGGTTTCCGTTCGTTCATTCAAAGCATTTTGAAGAAACTTGGAGGACTCACCAATCAGCTCATGCAATTCTGCATAGGATGCCAGAGTCTTCTCCTCCCTGTCTTGTGTTTTGGCTTTATTAAGACTATTGACTAACCCAGCATCATTTTGATTGTGCAATGACTGATGTCGATCCAGAGCCTTGAGTTGATGGTGAAGTTGAGCAAGCTCTCTCGTGAATGCTGCTCTTTCTTCCTGCATGACGGAGTAAGGTCAACATTACAGCAATGCCACTAACAGTAACAGAACAGAGGTACTAAGATAGATACCCAACCTCGTACTCCCTTGCAAAGCTATCTTTCTCTGCAATAGTTCTGTTAAGCAAACCCTGCAGATGTTCTAGCTCTCCCATCAAATCCTTATCCATATTCCTGCTACCTGATCCATTAAAATGAGTATGTACATCACCCTTTGCCTCCAACCTGTGTTGGGTTTCAGAAATTTCTATTGTTTCCCTACTGTCAGGATTTAACTCATCCGGACAATCAACAAACATGTCTTCTCTTCCCCCATCTTCAGTCACCCTAACATCATTTAGACCATCCTGAACAGAATCAGCTTCCATCACCAATGCCCTGTGATCATGGTTGACAGGTTCCACGAGCAGGGAACTGGGTTCCTGCAGTTGGAGTTATTCAGCTCATTATTGTAAAGGCATAGCAACAAATGTACAATTCCCCCACTATTCAGCATAGAAATTAATGACCTCTGGAGTCAATTGATAAAAACCATACAATAAATAGTTTAATGATTCTTTTTTAAAAGCAATGATTGGATTAATTGTGCATTTGCAGTTATTTAGGCAACCAACCCACATGAATCAAGGTCAAGGATTCACTAAACAATACTGGACAAGTTCTGGTAAGAAGCATTTGATTGAAAATGCAAATCAGATTCCAATAATTTTGTCACGATGGATATGGATTATTAGCAACAAATAGCATGAAAACTCCATGTCTTTTTATATAATAAAAGCAAGAATATTCTATAGAACATCAATTCAACAGTATTCAATTCTCTGGGTACCTGATTAACTGAATCAGTTAAGTCAACCACATCCCCTGGCTCAACAAAAGCTGAAACTTCCTCTCCATCATCACTCTCAGCTGCTTGGAAAGTACCAACATGAGGCCCCACATGAATAATTCCATTCGGGTCGCCATTCTCCCCAGCTCCAGAACCTCCCAATACCAGCTCTGAATCATTATTTTCCGGCATTTCGATCAATCACAATCCGATAACTCCAACCCAATCCCAAATTAGGCTAATCCTCATTAATCAGATCTGCAGAAAACAAATAGAACACAACATGCTTCAAAATCCGAAATTGTTCTAATTACATATGTAATCTCCCACTTGCTGCCTTGCATTCCAATCAGAAATTTGTGTGCGTGCGTGTGTGTGTGGGTGTGTTCATGCAAAAACAAGAAATCACAAAACGAGAAGAGAACCCAGAAATCGAATGATTTAATTAACCCAGAACAGAACCCAGAACGAGCAGATTTCTACCTTGAAAAATGGAATTTGAATTCGTTTTTTTACGCTGTGATGGTTCTGTGGAATGGGATTTGGCTCGATTTGTGTTGTGTTGTGTTGTTGAAGAAGACAAACGACGGTGGATCTGCCACGGCAACGCGCGAAAACACTCTGGAAATGTGCCTCTTTCTTTCCACTACAGGCGTTACATTGTTCGATTGGTTCTTGCAGACAGAGAGGAAACGACGTCGTCGTCGATGCAACTGAAACTCGAGCTTTGGCTATGTGACGACGGCGCTTTAAGGAGTGTCTCGGGAATCGCAATTTTCAGCAAAACACGCGTCGCTAAAAACCGTAAATTTTTTTTATTCATTTTCCGAAAAAAAGAAAGAAGATATTATTGTTTTTTTTTTGATTGGGTTCAAATAATTTGTATAATGTCGAATTAATATTATAAATAAATTAAGTTGTATCAAAATTTAATTAATTTATTTGTCACTATTTATTATCGGATTCTTGGGTAAGATTCATATTAATTATAAAATTAACATGTAATTTAATCTAACTAATATTTAATTCATCAAATTAATATCAAATCAAAATTCAATTCAATCTAATAAACATTCAATTTATCAAATTAACATTTAAATTCAGTTAGTTAACATTAAGATTTATCAAATTAGCATTCATTTAATCCAATTTATATTCAAATTCATTCAATTAAAGCTGAATTCATCAAATTAATATCTACAATAATCCAATAATAACACTTTTATTCATAAAGTATAGAAGTTTTGTCAGTTTTATTCTTAAAGTATCAATTTCGTCATCTTGACCCCAAAGTATTCAATTTGTGTTTAAAACATTCAATTTATCAAATCAACACCAAACTGGCAAGCAACTTTATATAATAACCATTTAATCCATCAAATCAAAACAAATTAACATTAAATTCAATAAACTAACATTCAATTACATCTAATTAATATTCAATTTTAACTATTTAGCATTAAATTTATCAAATTAACATTTAATTTCATCCAATTAATATTAAATTTATCAAATTAATATTTAACTTCATCCAATCTTGATTTTCTAAAATGGGTTAATACACTTTTATCCCTAAATTATGGATATTTTATCAGTTTCACATCTAAAGTATCAATTTTTTCAATTTTATCTCTAAAGTATTTAATTAATAGACAATTAGCAAATTGATATCACTTTAACATATTTCTTTGGTGGTAAATTGATGAATTAAATATTAATTAGATGAAATTGGATGTTACTTTTGTGTTAATTAGATAAATTGAATATTTATTGTTTGATTTGGAAAGTTAATTCAATGAATTAAGTGTTAATTGAATGAAATTGATATTAGAAAAAATTGAATGTTAATTAGATGAAACTGAATGTTAATTTTTTGTTAATTTGATGAATTGAATATTAATTTGAGGAATTGAATGTAAATTTAGTATTAATTTGATAAATAAAATTTTAATTGGATGAAATTGCATGTTACTTTGGTATTAATTTGATAAATTGAATATTTATCAAATAATTTTGGACATTAATTTGATTAATTGAGTGTTAATGGATAAATTTGAATATAAATTAGGTGAATTAAATGTTAATTTTACATTAATTTAATGTTAACTAGTTGAATTTGAATGTTAATTTAATGGATTAAATACTTATTAGATAGAATTAAATATTAATTGGATGAAAATTGAATATTAATTTGGTATTAAATTGATGAATTGAATATTAATTAGAAAATTGTATGTTAATTTGGTGTAAATTTGATAAATTGAATCTTTATTGTTTGATTTGGAAAGTTAATTCAATGAATTAAGTGTTAATTGAATGAAATTAATATTAGAAAAAATTGAATGTTAATTAGATGAAACTGAATGTTAATTTTTTGTTAATTTGATGAATTGAATATTAATTTGAGGAATTGAATGTTAATTTAGTATTAATTTGATAAATAAAATTTTAATTGGATGAAATTGCATGTTACTTTGGTATTAATTTGATAAATTGAATATTTATCAAATAATTTTGGACATTAATTTGATTAATTGAGTGTTAATGGATAAATTTGAATATAAATTAGGTGAATTAAATGTTAATTTTACATTAATTTAATGTTAACTAGTTGAATTTGAATGTTAATTTAATGGATTAAATACTTANGACATTAATTTGATTAATTTAATGTTAACTAGTTGAATTTGAATGTTAATTTAATGGATTAAATACTTATTAGATAGAATTAAATATTAATTGGATGAAAATTGAATATTAATTTGGTATTAAATTGATGAATTGAATATTAATTAGAAAATTGTATGTTAATTTGGTGTAAATTTGATAAATTGAATCTTTATTGTTTGATTTGGAAAGTTAATTCAATGAATTGAGTGTTAATTGAATAAAATTGAAAGTTTATTTGATTAATTTAATGTTAACTAGTTGAATTTGAATGTTAATTTAGTGAATTAAATACTTATTAGAAAAAAATGAATGCTAATTAGATAAAATTGAATGTTAATTTGATGAATTAAATATTAATTTAGTGTTAATTTGATAAATTGAATTTTAATNGAATGCTAATTAGATAAAATTGAATGTTAATTTGATGAATTAAATATTAATTTAGTGTTAATTTGATAAATTGAATTTTAATTGAATGAAATTGAATGATACTTTGGTGTTGATTTGACAAATTGAATATTTATTAAATAATTTTGGATGTTAATTTGATTAATTGAGTGTTAATTGGATGAATTTGAATGTAAATTAGATGAATTCAATGTTAATTTGGTGTTAATTTTATTAATTTAATGTTAACTTATTGAATTTGATTGTTAATTTAATGAATTAAATTCTTATTAAATAAAATTGAATGTTAATTTTAGGTTAATTTGATTAAGTGAATATTAATTAGATAAAATTGTTTGTTACTTTGGTGTTAATTTGATAAATTGAATATTTATTGTTTGATTTGAAAAGTTAATTCAATGAATTGAGTGTTAATTGAATGAAATTAAAATTTAATTAGATTAATTTAATGTAACTAGTTGAATTTGAATTTGAATTTAATAAATTGAATATTTAATCGATGAAATTGAATATTAATTTGATGGATTTAATATTTATTAGATGAAATTGCATGTTACTTTAGTGTTGATTTGATCAATTGAATCTTTATTGGATTATTTCAAATGTCAATTTGTTGAATTAAGTGTTAATTGGATGTATATCTGAATGTTAATTTGACAAGTTTTTTTTTTTGAGAAACAATGATAACATTTATTTATTAAGCAACATAGGATACATTGTTGTTGAGATAAGATAAGAGAAAGAACGGAATCTCTTCCCTCCACATCTTAAAAGTATTACAGTTAATAGCAAATTTAGCTAAACTATAAGCAACTACATTTCCCTTCCTTCTTATTCAAACCGATGAGAAAGCTTAAAATTTTGTCTTCAACATAAGAATTTGATCTATAAAGTTACCCACTTCAGATAAGGTCACNAACTACATTTCCCTTCCTTCTTATTCAAACCGATGAGAAAGCTTAAAATTTTGTCTTCAACATAAGAATTTGATCTATAAAGTTACCCACTTCAGATAAGGTCACTTGCTCTTGGAAAATAGTTTGGATAATATACTTGGAATCACCCTTCAGCAAGATCCGAGTAAAGCCCAGATCAACAGTCAAATGCACAACAGCAAAAGCGGCAAAAGCCTTTACACAATCTGCACTTAATATGCCTTCTATCTTTTGACTTAGTCCAACCAAAAAATTCCCATGACAGTCCCTAATAACCACGCCCAATCCAGACATTTAAAAGAGTTGAAAACAGCCCCATCAAAATTAACCTTGCAAGTGCTTTCTTGGGGCAATTTCCATAAGGATCTTTCCTTATAAGCAACTGGTATATGAACACTTACTCTCGAACAATTAACAGCATGAAAATGATGGATATATTCCCTTGAAAATAGAAATATTTCTTCCGGGGATCTGGAGCAATATTCAACCCGAACTACATAGCCCATGTAATAACAGCGATCAATATTACCCCATCAGATGATACCTTTACTGAAATATATACTAGCTAGTCTTGAATATTCAATACACCCTCAGATGAAAATTGAATAGCAGCCACATCCCATACGGCCTTCGCAAAAGGACATGTAACAAACAAATGGAAGGATGATTTACAAGAATAACCACATAGAAAACATTCATTGTTAACCAACAATATTCTCCATTGTAAATTGCACAAACTAGGTAAAATATCAATAAATAATTGCCATAAGAAATTTTTGACCTTGTTAGGTACTTGAAGCGACCAAATAAAAAAGTCAGGCCAACGATCCATAGTAGTGCTTGAAGATGCAACATCAGTATGAAGTAGAAATAGATTTTTTTTTAATGGCTAAATAATAAGCACTGCGAACTAAAAAGTTCCCAGACTTATTAAAATGACAAATTAATCTATCCGCCAGTAGCGTTGGACAAATCGGAACGGACAGAATATCTTGNAACTACATTTCCCTTCCTTCTTATTCAAACCGATGAGAAAGCTTAAAATTTTGTCCTCAACATAAGAATTTGATCTATAAAGTTACCCACTTCAGATAAGGTCACTTGCTCTTGGAAAATAGCTTGGATAATATACTTGGAATCACCCTTCAGCAAGATGCNGTCACTTGCTCTTGGAAAATA